CAATTCTCCTGTGCCAAGAAAAAACTTCCTGTGCTGGGAGAGAACAGATGAGACTGTTACGGCTGCTATCCTTGAGGCCAAATTTTGATTGCAGTCATCCGTAACAGTATTCTCTCCTTGGAGTGCCGCTCCAAGGACTGTCTGCAGAATTTGAAGTGGATCGCCATGGCTCACGATCAACACCGCACACCTAGAAAAAAAGCAAAGGCACGTGATATTACTACGAGCACATCTAGCAGCAATGTTTTCTTACTTATCAGCCAGATTTATTTACAAACACTAATTTATTGATCTCACTGTTCTCACACACTAAATTGGTCAAACATAAAATAAAATCAAAGTCGGAGGTAATTTTCTGGCTAAATTTCCTGAAAAGGGACAATTTAACTTCTCTTTTTCATACCATTTTCTTTCTTTAATAACATGTATTTCATGACTCTGCATATTCAACAATCATTTCGATAAATTCATCATGTTCAGCCAATACTGAAGTATTGCCATATGGGATCCAATATTTAGTGGAGTTATGGCCAGATTTAAGCTACTCCAATATTATTACTCGCTAAAGGGGGTGTTATTACCCTTGAAAACTTGACTCAATGGTGGTGATTGCATTTGTAAGCCTGGAAACAACATCTGCAACACTTTCTCCATGCAAATCAGGCCGCATGAAAGGGTCCTCCTCATCTAGTGCCCAAATTTCTTGGTACTACAAAAAAGCCAAACAAGGCAATCCATCCCGACCCTTAATTATTACGGAGTATGAGACAGACAAATAGATAGATGATAAACAGAATGCAACATAGGAACGAGCTTAAACAAGCAATGAATTTCAGTCTTACCTTATCATGTGACTGAAGCTCAAAAGTGCGACCAAAGAAGCGCTCACGGAGATCATTTATAACCTGTTAGCAAGGGAACCATTCTTGGGGATGGACAAGCAAATACAAACGGGGTCTTTGATAGATAGATAGATTATATATAGATGACCAATTTGAAAAGAAAGAAAATAGGAACATGCCATGCACTGAGGTGCTGGAGGCCCTTCCTCAAAAAAAGGAATCCCGAGACGAGAAGCAACATGCTGTGCAGTCTGTCTGGTCCTTGAGAATGGGGAGTAGCATATTCGGACCCTCTCAAGCTCAATGCTATTTCTCTTCAACTCCTGGAAGTGTGCAAGAAATAAAATGATGGGATATGCTATGGATGAACAAAAAACAGACAAACTGAGGCAGAGGCGATAAAAAAACAGCCAAATTCGGTTACCATTTAAGGTTCATCCTTTCATAATCAACTGAGATGTGTCAAAACCAGCTGAACCTCACTCTAACCCAATTAAACCTGACTTAAGTAACTCAATTTGGTCCTCAGCTTTGCATTTTGTAAAACTGAATAACCAAAATAAATAAAAAATGAACTCCACTAGGACATGTCATTCCTTCCTTCCAGATTAGCTATCATTTTTTTTTTTCGACGTCGACCAATAATCAGTCAAGAAAATGTTGATTTTCAACAACAGTCTAATCTGAACTATTATAAGAAAAAAATATCTGATAGGATTGCCACTGCTCTTTCTTAAACCGGACAAATTCAAACCTAAATATTAACAATTATGCTTGGTGTACTAAATTAATGTCTTGATACAGACTGCTAATATGGGTTACAATATACAAATTATTGGTTTTGTGCCAAAGCACACAGATCAGCACACAAATCAATGTTTGAGTCTGTGTTAACAATTCATAAGTTTTCGGATAATTTTATTTCACACAAGGCGCAAATTAGTACTACCTCCGTCCCATTTTATGTGTCTTAGTTTGACTCGGCACGATTATTAATGAAGTGGTTGAAAAAGTCAAAGTTGTGGTTGAGATTTGAGTATAATAAAGGGAAATGGTGTAGACCACATATTTCTTTCCGAAAAAGGAAAGGAGACACTTATTTTGGGACAATCCAAAAAGGAAAGTAGGACAGGTAAAATGGGACGAATGTTTCATACTTTCATATACAACAATGGTTGTTTGTGTGAGCCATGTATATTTACTAACACAAGTTATCCAATTAGTATTTACTATCTCAATCATACTCAATGCATTACAAGGTGCAGGAATGGCTTTTTTGAAATATTATTTGTTAACTACGTGTCTACGACTCTACGTAGTATTTTTAGTTTATAATAAATCTTACTTCGGATAAAACAAGTTAATCCTAAACCACTACGTACTCCGTATAATTTATGATTTTATCAATAAATTATGGTGGTGGTTTATAAATTATAATTGATTGATTATTAGTTTATTACATTCAGAGTTATAATCACCTCACGAAATGAGTCCCCGGCTGATAGAGCTTGTTCAACACCTCTGGGTGCTAATCCATACTCTTCGAGGATGCCATTTTCCTAATCCAAACAGATACGCCCGTTTTTTTAATCAATCAACGTCGATGGAAGGTAACGGAGAGATTATCATAGACATAATAGTTATAGATAGAGAGAACGTAACTCACCATTGACGAAACAATGAGTTCCAATACATTCGGAATGCTTCTGCCATGTCTGAGCACCCAATACTTATTTCCAAGAAAAGATTTGCGATCCCCCATAGCTTGATAGAAGTGTCGCCGCCGGAATCCGGCACCGGCTATTGTAATTATTATCACTTACCCGTTTGACTTTTTACCTTCTCCGACGGCTCTCTGGCCACTAATCAATGCCCCCAATTATTTGCCGTCAAATGTAGTTTGTTAGTACGCTGGGCTAAGAGCATGTTTGGACGGAGTATTGAGGAGTGTTAGTAATGGAATTGTTAGTAAGTATTGATGCTAACACTTGTTTGGGAGAAAAATCCAGAGGTGTTAAGAAGTGTTAGTAATGGTTAGGAAGTGTTAATAATAACCTTCCCAACATCTCAATTATCCATTTTTTAACACCCCGATTTGGAGTGTTTTGAGGTGTTGGACAATTATTACCCTTCTCATTTACCTGAAAAACATAAAATGCTTCGATATTTCACTTCGAATGTCTTCCCCACGGGTCTGATGGTTTGTTTTTTCATCTCTTCTCTTTACTCGTTTCTTTTGCCTCAAGTTAAAATTATTAACACTTCCATTATTAACACTTCATTCATTTGACTCTCCCAAACAAGGTAAAATTATGTCCAACACTTACACTTCCCTTCCCTTCCGAGCCCTTACTAACACTTATTAACACTTCCATTACTAACACTTCCAAACACTCCATCCAAACAGGCCCTAAGGTTCAATTTTTTCGTAATAGTTATGGGTTTTAACTTATAATGCTGTGCTTTCGTGTAATGAGCTATTTCGATGATCGAGCCCAAGTCCAATATTTATTTTTCCGAGTGGTCTGGTGGACTTTTCGGCCTTCTTACAGACGGGTATGGACTATGGACATGTGGTTAAACCCGTTTTTTACGAATTGAGCCGGTTCACAAAATTTTAAAAACGCTTGATCCGAGTCCGTTTTGTTTTGCAGGTCCACGTACTAGTAATGGAAATGTCCAAACTATATAGAACACCATGGGTTCCCGACCGTTTCACCAAATTAACCACAAAAATCTAAGTTAGTTGGCTCCCATATTTAGAGACCGTGTGCGGTTGTTTCTATTTTAAAAAAGTGATTTTTAAAGCGATTTTGAAGAAAATGCTTAATAGTACGAGTAAAATTTAGTAGTGTTTCAGAAAAATACTTCTGAAAAAGTAAAAGTTAATAGTTTTTGGTAAAATTTGTACTTTATGTGGAATAAAATGTGAAAAACATTTTAAAGCACCCCACGACTCTATTGCTTCCCACTTATTCCAACTATTTTTAAGTCAAAAGGTTTTTTTTTCGTAAGCCAAAAGGTTAAAAACCCTTTGTTTTTGTAAACACTCCTTTGTATTTTTGTAATAGAAACGGACTACAAAACAGAGCTGAAATAATAAGCAAAACGAAAGAAATCCACAAACGTATTTTTCAAACAAGGCACTAATTCACTAGCCTTGCGACCACAAGCTCAGCTCCTTAGGCAATCACAACTAAAGTGGCTTTTAAAGCCAAATTGGTCAAATCTAATTCAACTCTATCAATACTTTTCATAATCAATATTAGATAATACATCTACATACTACCTCCATCCCGTTGAATGTTCCCGTTCGGTTTACGATGCTTGACTGACATTAAAGCAACTCGATCCATGTTCACACTCCGCTTATTTTTAGTAAATAAAATTTACATATTCAGAAACCTTATTAAAACCGCTACAAAGCCTGATTAAGAAAAGTTCAATTTGATAAAAATTTGATATATAAAGTAAAAGATTAGGAGTGATCTAAGTTGACCAATGAATAGTGAATGTGAACATTCCAACGGGACGGAGGGAGTATATGTTTTTTTATCAAATTGGTTCAGATGTCTTATAAACGCTCACACTCGTCATAATTCAAAATAGAAAGGACTGATCAGTACAGTGAAACTTTTGATCGATATGTGCGTGGTCATGGATTTATGATTTCTCATCACTAATACTTATATTTAATTTGTTCTAATTGATGGTTTATGGCTTTAATGCGTTGGTCATTATTTAAAAAAAAGTTTAATATTACCACTAAAAAGCCTTTTTATAGTGCGCTCTTAAATAAGTTCTTTTTGTAATGTCAAAAGTGGAATTTAGGAGGGAGTCAAGGAATTGAACTGATAGAAGTATATAACTATATATACTATAACATTGTTTCTTTTCATTATAGATAGAGATAATATCATATTACTAGCTAATTGCCTAATTAAGGGATGAAAATTTTGGGCGCGTATGTTATACGTAGTATTTTATATTTTTCTTAGGTAATTAATTTTATAACGCAATCGGCACATCCTAATGATAGTTGTTTAAATTAATTTAGGTCTCCGAACTAGCTAATAAGGTGCATCCGGTACATATGAAACATGAGCCGAACAATGACTTATATTAGTACAAACTTCAATCGGTGTTAAGATTCATGCTTTCATTCACTGTTATTATTATTTTATAAACAAAGTTGTCTAGCTAGATAGAAACGTACAATTCAAGCTTTATTAATTAGAAACGTTACAAGCTTTATTAATTTTTTCTGATCGATTTCGATGTGGATCAGTTTATTGGATGCAAGATATAAATTAGAACTTTACAACCGTATAATATACTTGTAAGTATATTTAGTACAGCGCGCTCAATCTACGAACTCTACACAAGAATGCAATGGTACAATTCAATCTAGGGTGCGTGGCATGGGAAGTTAGCTATGTCAGGTAGGTTGCTTAATTAGGGTCAATTTTGTACATAGGCGGCAGTGGCGGGGTTGCCGCCACATGGAGAACAACCCGCCTCTTCGGCGGTGTCGGTGATCTGTAATCCGGAATCATATGTCACCCCATTTTGCCAATTTGACGGTAACACCTTCTTTGCCCAATACCACTTGCCGTCGTATCCCGCCGTTACAACGAACCGGAATTGCAATGCCCCGGTTGGCGCTTGGCTAGTCTCCCAGACAGCATTATGTTTGCGGGTCATAAAGGTCCAACCTGACGACTCCCCCACCTGAACATATGATTACTCGATCAAACTGTTGCAATTAAATAAGAATAAAAATAATAACAATCCATTATCACTCCTACTGAACTGATTAAACAAATTATGGCGGACAATTTAATCGAAATGGCTCATATTTACCCGCTTATAATAGTTGAGAACATATCTAAAACAATTAGTTGGTCAATGTGATCAATTCATGATTTCCTTGTGAAACTCAATTGAAATTTGTTACTTCTACCACAAATTGTGGGGATTAAGTGGAAGTTTAATTTTTTGTGTACATAAAATGGGTGCATAAATTACTTACACAAACATGTACTAATCCTATGTACCACAAGATTTTTTGTTAAGTGGAATTAGCCTTTTAATAAATAGAACATGAAAACATGATAATGATGAAAAGAGTTATAATAATAATAATAGTGGGGCCTACTACAAACCTGAGCCACGTCAACAGATACAATTTCAGTCTGGCCAGCCTGATAAAGGAACTTAATCGCTAGGTAATTATTGTGCTTTTGGCTTGATTCTTCCACACGGATAGCCAAATTCTTGTTCTTATAATAATCACAAGCCACCCTGTACACAAGATCCACTAATTTAATTATACCAGAATTTATTTCATCAATGCAGTATGACTTTTTGTAACTTGTTCTAGGAGGATTACATTAGGGCTACAATATGCTTCAAAAGGGTCATTTAAGTTTTCTCTTCGTCACAATTTAAGTTAATCAAAATAAGTGTCATATTTGTATTGAAAGATATTTGCGGCTCATAACATTTTACGGAGTATTTTATTATACTCAAATTTCAAACAAAATTTCCAATTTTTCAATCACTTTATTAAGAGATTGAAATGAGACGGAGGTAAATTAAATATTTCTTCAATGCAGTCTTATCCCGATTCTTGGATCCGCCCTTGATTGTAGTAGTCATCGTAGACAATAAGAGCCATATATAACTTGAGGCCGTGCAAAGGAATCAAATAGACATAAGCCTCTACATATATATTTATTCTTACATAATTAAAATAATTTGAATTTCCGTTATCATATGAATCAAATTTGGAATGAAGCTAAGTATTGGAATATTTTGTATTGCCCTCACACTACATACGTTTGAATCCAAGATTGTTAATGCATGACATAATAATAGCCTATCATTAGTGCGTGCGTGCGTTAGCTAGTGGTCATGAAAAAGTCATGTTGTTGTAGAAAAACGAAACTACTGTTCCATGTTTATCTAAGACGGAAATCGATCGAAACAAACACGCCTCTATCAATTAGACGATTATTGATGATATGTCATGGGAGCAGTGATTGTGGTTCTAATAATACACACATACATAAATCTCTAATAATAGAAACTTTTGGCCAATTAGTTCGAAATGATTGAAAACTTGGTGACTATTTGTCATTTTTCTCTTCTATTATTCAATAAGTTTTCCACCTGTTTTTCAACTTTATCCAATTTCTTTTCATTAAGATAGAATGATAATTAAATAGGCCAGAATGATATAGTCAAATAGACCTTTATTTCACTCTGTTGATGATCCTACTTTATCGCTACACATTTTGTATGATTTGTTAGAGGTTTCTCAACTTCAATGGATTGTGAATGAAAGATAGGCGCTGATGTGCCTAGGGTTTTACAAAAAATAGGACCAGTATGCGCTTATCTTTACTGTTCTTTTATACTTGGAAGAATTGAAAAAAAGTACTCCGTCACTTACAAGGAACATTATTATAAATTAAAATAAATCCATTATATTGCCTATCTAAATGTAAGCTTAAGAGCTCGAGGGTAAAGTATCTTACGTTGAAATCCAATTTAAAGAAAACGTGTACTAGTATTATATATACCTTTAAACCCGTATCCGAGACTTAAAATAATGTAAAACTAATTATTAACATTTTCAAATACGTTTAAAAAACCTTCTAGGAAATAAAATGTAGGTAGATTCTATGGTACTCCTAAAAGGTACCATACACTTGTTCACATGGACTAATCAGAATGATGTACTTGAATTATTTAAATCTAAATTGAAAATGATATAATGATTTAGACAAATCAAGTGAATGATAATTATGGTACCCAATGGGTAGGAGAGTTGTCATCTAAAATGTAAGAGCATCTTCAATGCTAAAACGTTAACGGTGCATATGTGGCATGAGAAATAACTAATTAAAAAACAATAAATAAAATATCGCTCTCCTTATTTGAAGGATCTTACATCATTTTGGTAAATTTTTCTTCACAATGTCAAGTATATTGTCTAGATGTAGACATTGTGGTTGACATTGCAGACAAAAACTTACCAAAAACACATAAGACCTTGGAAAGAAAGAGAGATAAATGTCATAAAATCAATATTTTGTGTCTATATCTCTCATGTCACATGTGCACCGTGCACATTATAGCATTGGAGATGCTCTAAATACCTTTTACATAACATTACAAATTAAACAATTAGAGGAAAGCGATTACTCCGTAACAGGGTTGTTTCATGGCCAAGAAAATAAGATTTTCATGGACTCAAAAGAAAACAAGTAATAACGGGTGGGCCCGTTATGTAGTGTAGAATACCTTTTATAGTCGACTTCGAGAATGCCAAGCTTAAGAAGGTGTCGTTCATTGCCCTGTTTAGCCATGGCCATGAAAGCTCTGCTGCTGATCACAAAATGTGTTTGGTTGTTTGTGTTAAGATCGGTGACCATCACCGTCGTCCCTTCTTTTTTGCACATACTTGTGTCTTTGCAACTCATCTGCAGCGACCACGCCAAACATGCCCCCAATTATAGTTAATTACGGAGTAAAATTTTAATAAGATACCCCTAAACAGGAATATAAATATGAAATATTCTAAAATAAGAGTAAAATAAGAGTAGTAGGTTGGTTGAAGTAGCAAAATGAATTAGATGCTTTACATTGTTTACAAGTTATAATATTGGAAATATCAACAAAGAAGTAGTATTTGGGTATGATTCCTTCCATTCTTAAAATTTTGTTAACTTCTCATTTATGATTTCACTTAATATATAAATCTCAACTACACAATTTTTATTTATTCTCATGATTCTAGTAAATTTCTTCACCAATTTTTTATACACAAACTTTTAGTGTTTCAGTTTTTTCACACTTTTTACACACGCTTGTCAATGTTTTTTTGTTTGTTCATAAAAAAACGTGTTTTGCCTGTTTGTATTCATAGTTAAAAGCTTTCATATTTGTAAAAGCATGTAAACATTAAAAATGTGTCCAAAAAGTTTTCTCAAATGTCTTTCATGTAAGATAAAGGAAAAAGAGGCCATCCGACCTTAAAGATTAATATTGATAATTAATTTGGTTTTTAATAATTAAAATGAAACTGTTCCATCACGAAAAATCAATTTAGGATGCAGATAGTATATTTAGGGGGTGTTTGGATATGATTCTCAAAACTGATTCTGCTCCTTCAGGGAGCAGAAGGAGAAGCTGGAGTGTTTGGGTGAAATTCCAGAAGCACTTCTGGAGCTCTAATTTACTCTCAGAATCAGTTTTTTTAGAAGTTGGGGGTACCAGCTTCTGAAAACTGATTCTGATTCTGCTTCTGCTTTTAAAAAAGAAGCAGAAGCAGAATCAGTTCCAAACACCCCTAAATTTCATTCATGTAAAACAGGGGTGATTAAATTGAAAAGCCGACCTGATAACAGGCGCCACAACCGGCACCGTCCTTAAAGATTGCTGGCGCGGCCGCAGCTATTCGTCCGCCGTCGTATAAACCAACGGCCCTCGATCCATACCCGCAAGCACCGGCTGCAATTCACCATATTATTTACACATAGATATAAATACCAGATTAAATTAGCTATTCATATCGAGAATTCAAAGATAGGCGTGAGGACGTACAGAGGAGGGCAGAAGCGTTAGAGAAGTAAGAGACTTTGGTTTGATGAACACAGCTGTCACAACCAGAAACAGAGGAGGAAACGCCGGCGATTGTGAAAATAAGGACGGCGCCGACCAAGAGATGATGATGTGGATGAGGATGACGGCCGGCCATTTAATTATTTTGCAATTAATCCTCGAATCAAAAGAAATCCTCGAATCAAAAGAAAGGATATTGATAGAATTAGTGGAGACGGGTTATATATAGCATATATACGCGCGTGATGACAAGATTATGCAATAAGACTCCAAACAAATTGTGGCGCCGCGTTATGCTGGTTGAAGACAGATCAGAGGTGAGCTGAATATGCAATATACCGAATATTTATATATATGGAGCTGAATATGTTATACTCCTCCCTCAATATTTGTCCTAGAAGTGGAGCTGAATATGTTATACTCCTCCCTCAATATTTGTCCCAAAATATTTGTCCAATTTTTTTTTCCTTATTTGGCAAACATATTTTTATCAAAAAGTGTCAAACAATACAAAACAGTATCAAACAGTGTTGTTACAGTGTCAAACAGTGTTACTGCAGTGTAAATTCAAATTTATTTCCTTAATATCTGCGAAGTCAAACGAGGACAAACATTTAGGGATGGAGGTAGTATGTAATATTCTCTCCGTCCCTTAAAACTTTGTTTAGTTTGACCGACACGATGTTAATAAAGTAAAAATTGTTTGATTGAAGTTTGTACATAAGAGAGACAATTAATTGGAACCATAAATTTTTTACTTAAAAGGAAAAGTGGTATAATTATTAGGACATCCAAAAACTGAAAGATGACAAAGTTTAAGGGAAGGTGGAAGTACTCGGTGTGTGTATATATAAAGCGCGTGGTTGGCATCTTAGTGGACTCAATACGAAGATTTGATGAATGGGATGACTTCGGATTCGAGTCATGGAATAAGTTGTTACGATCTCACACCGGTCAAGTATGGGCTTGACCGGCTGCTTATAAGCAATGTGTTCCCTCCTCCTAATCGGCTGGTCTTTTAGGAATGAGTTCTACACATGGGTTTATGGCACTGCTACGGGCCTAATATGGGCTAGGTCCGTAACAATGGGTATCATAGTCGTCCCCATCTTCCTAGTCCCGACACTCGGAGTGGTGGCCTATGGAGTGGTGGCTTGGGACCTGGGGGGTGCCAACCGTGACCAACGAGGACGTTGGCTCTTCGAAGTATGGGGTATTGTTACTATCTCACACCGGTCAAGTATGGGCTTGACCGGTGGCTTATAAGCAATGTGTTCCCTCATCCTAATCGGTTGGTCTTTTAGGAATGAGTTCTACACATGGGCTTATGGCACTGCTACGGGCCTAATATGGGCTAGGTCTGTAACATAAGTGATGGAGTATAAGGCCCGAGGACCCCCGGCCCACAGACTCCTACTTCTCCTACACAGGCCCATCATGCCCAAACATAACGGCCCAAGCGAGGAGAAACCCATCATACGCATAAGGGTGCCTTCGGCCTCCTTGATCGAAGGCTCCAAATTCTACAAGACTGCTAAATTTGAGCATACGAAGCTACTAGGAGAAAACGGCAGAAAACAGTAGACCTCGGCTACATGTAGCCCTCGGCATGAACCTAGCCTTCGGCCACTCATCAGCCTTCGGCCATATGTCACTGGCCGAAGGGTCTACGCTCTACGAAGCTTCCTCTAGAGACAAGCAACCCCGCATTCAATGCGGCGTCACATCCATCCACCGCATTTAAAGCGGTGCACATGCAAATGCCGGTGCCACCCCGATTGAGGTGACCCCTCGGCCGTTAAGATTATTGACACGTGTACTCTCATCGCATTTATGGCTGCTATAAATAGCAGCCTTTATTCCTCTTGTAAAGGATCCCAGAACAAGTTCATTCAATATACTTGGCTCTCTCTCTCTTACTTGCTTGCTCTGACTTCTCTCTAGGTTATTTCCCGCAATAACCCCTCGGATAAGCTACCCCCCCAGGTACGCCATCCCTCAATAAGTTTACGGGTTCAAAAAATGTTTGATAATTTAGTGCCCGTTTGGTAGCATGAAAATCGGCTTATTTGGCTGATTCTGCTGAAATTTATTAAGTTGTGGTTGAAGTGACTGCATTGGGTGTTTCTCCTGATTTAAGAAAAAATTATTGTTGTAATAAAGAAAAAATTATATGTAAAATAAAATAAAATAGCTAAAATGATAAAATAAAGAAAATTAGCTAAAATGATCATCTACAGTAACTCCAGTCAATACAGTCAGAAAAGCAACTTCAATCTTATTTTTTTCAGCTTATTACACAATTCAGCTTGCAGAGGCAAAAGTTACGTGTTTGGTAAAAAAGTTGACTGATAAACCCGATAAGCCAAAAACCAACGGCATTAGTTATTTGATCATAGTAATTGATACGCAATTTCCTATTTCAAAACGTAACCCGGCCAAAATATTATTATTAGCTTGCGCCAAACATCAATTTTTTCACCGAAAGCCATTTTCAAAAAACATCCAGACTGAGTTATTTAAAGACGGGATTTTCCTTGATGATATTATCCTTGATGATATTCATTTTCTGTTAGAGTTTAAGAGGAATTTTGAGATCTCTTATTGTAAACGGTCTGCAAATCGTGTTGCTCACGCATTAGCTAGAGCACATGTTTTACGTACTCTCAGACCAGGTTAGTACGTATCTGACTATACCAGATTGTATTCAAAGCCAGATGGCTAATGATTTACTGAGTTAATGAAGAGAGGTTGATTTGAATTTCAGGGCCGTCTTCAAAACTTTTGGTGCCCCAGACGAAAAACTTTTTTCGAAGCAAAGAAAACAGATTTATTAATAGAATCCGTAAAAGATTACATAACTTGATTTTTTAGTTTTCTCGTGGAAACCATTTGCGATGATGACGTCAGACAAATCACGAGAACTATGTTAATTAATGTACTTGTCTCCTAGATTGTTTCCTTTATTAATAAAAGTTGTTTTTTATTTTTATGCCATGAACCTATGCATTTTTTGTTAATGGCTGACCGAGTATAATATGTGTGTGTGTGTGCGCACGCGCGTGTGTATGTGAGAAAAAATAAAAATATATATATGAGAAATCTTCCGATCTAGATGGACTGACCAGAACCGCCGTCCGGTCGCCTCCATTTGAGTTTCTTTCGAGTAGCATATTTTGATAAACTTTTGTGAGTATGTTTGTCATGAACTTTAGATTATATTCATGAAATTTTACCTTAAAGCTCAATCAGGAAGTCGGTTAAATAAATTATTAAAAAAAAATTGTGCCAAAAATATACATAAAACACAGTATTTTTCAATAATTTATTTCACTGACTTCGCAATTGAATTTTAAGGTAAAATTTTATGAGCATAATATTAACTTCATGAGAAACATGCGAACAAAATTTCATCCAAAATATCCACCCAAAAGCATTTCAAACAGAGGCGATCGGACAACTCTTCCGATCAGCCCAATTATAATAGAAGCTTTTTTTAAAAAAAATGGTGCCCCATCTAAAATTGGTGCCCTAGGCAAGTGCCTAGGTGCCTTGGCCCTATGGACGGCTCTGAGAAAAGAGCATGGCTGATGCAAGAGAAAAGAGCATCCCTCCAAAGAAATGCCTTCATATATGAATGCCTTCCTCTCTCCTATACCTTCCTGCTATGTATTAACTGGAGAGTCCTTAAAGTGTGGATATGCACACTTAGTTACTATATGGACAATTAGAATGCCAAAATGTTAATCTACCAGGAACTCACCTTAATATACACATTCTTCCAATCATGCTATGTTTAACGGTTTAAGTATATAGCAAATACTAAACCTGATTCAAAATCACAATGAAATAAAAATCAGATATAAAAAAGCAATATCCAGGAACTCCCTTCGGTTTTGCTTGTTAACTTCATCAATGATTATTTTACTAATAATAATTCACCAAGAAAATGTGATGAGAAGAACAATTTTTTACTTGTCAATATCCAAAATCAAGGATTGCTCAAAAATAATTATAGCTAAGATATAATTGATTGAGGAATTTTAACAAACACCTTCCATACAAAAAAATGTAACAACTTTCTATGTGATATAATCCTAGAAGATTGGAACTCAGTTCAAAATATTTTATGTAGTGTGACTTACAAGAATAATTCACTTCGAATATTTGTGCTCTTTTCTTCATCATTATTATTTGTGAAATAAAAATTACTCCATAATAATTCAACAACAACAAGTTTTTTATATCCATATTTTAAATTCGAAATATACTTTTAATAATTCTACAAATTCACAAATAATGCAACACAACTAAAAAAAAGATAGCAAATTGACAATAAACGAGATACATATCATCTTTAATTTACAAAGTTCACTTGAAAATATAAAAATAAAATCATCAAATTAATGAATACAACAGAAAAAATCAATGTTCTTCATTGTTCTAGGTTAAGTATTAGTTCTAATTAAATTAATAGTTGAACCGCGGGAGCTAAGATTTAAATCATATTAATTAAGTTGTAAAATTGCACAAACGTGATACAACAAATGTTGGAAATGTATTGAGAAATGGAGCTCAAGTGTTCAACATAATATTTGAAATATTATTTTTAATAATTATTGCCAAGCTTTAATTTATTAAAGATAATTTAATTATAATTATTATTATGATGAATTGTGGAAATCCACAGGTGATTTAGTTCACAATTCAAATAATAATAATAATAATGATTGAATACTTTTTAATGGTTTGTGCATATGTACGTTTTTGTAAAGTAACTCATTGATTTTAAATTTGGAATTCCTTTTTGTCGCATGGAATTTTCAAAAGGTTCGTTCATTTGTTAGTTTTACATTTAAAGGGTGCAGTCCTTTTGAAAAGTCATGATCCTTCATCTATGAATAACACTTTTGGAGATATATTTTAAATAAATTCATCCGACATGTTGAATACGGGAGTTAAAACCAACATACACAACATACATCGAAATTAAAAAAAAAAAATTGAAAAAGTAGTCACGGTCAAATCCGTGACTAAGGCCGTGACTAATTCAAAATTTTGAATTGGTCACGGCCGTAGTCACGGATTTGACCGTGACTACGCCGGTCAATGACGGCGCTGACACTTCGTCTTCCGCGTGTCTGACTACGTTAACTACGACAGTGTAGTCAAGGATATATCTGTGACTAACTCCGTGACTACGTCCATATATATAATTAACACTTAGCGAATTTTTCATTCAACACTCTCCAAAACCCTAAAACTCTCCCTCTCCCTTTACTTCTTCTCTCTGTCCGCCAACCCCTTCGACCTCCACCGTCCGTCGCCACCGTCCGCCGCCGCTCTCCACCGTCTGTCGCCACCGTCCGCCGCCGCTCTCCGGTACCTAGCTCCATCGATCTTCG